ACTAAACTAAGGCAAGACTTTTCTTATGGCAAGACACAAAGGCCACATCACACCTTCATTTCTGCTTTGTGGTCTTGAGAAATTCACTGAATTCCTTCGGGTCTCAGTTTCCTCAAAGGGAACATTCTTCTAGAGATAGAAAGAAAATACTACCAGGAAAGAGAAATTAACATTTAGCTTTACTATGCCTGCTTCAATTTTGTGAACTCATTTCCAAAATCAGTAGTCAGATACTTTCATCCCAAAGAAGTATTCTCCCTTCACATGCCCTCTGGTAGTTTGTACCACTCTGCTCTACTAAAATTGTTTGTCAAAATGTTCACTATTCTCATCTTGAAATCAGGGTACAAGTAAACTATAATAAACTAGTCCCAGTTCCATTGATTCCATGTAAAAATTGTATTTCCTGTGAATTATTTCAACATGGAAAGATCGATTCTGGCTATCTACGCCGTAACACTAGAACACTAAAAGGTTCACTTTGCTTAAAAAAATTTTTTACATGCAAACACATTAGGAAGTTCAGCTAACAGCTAAAAGCGTAAGAAACAAAAAACTGATAGCCCTAGCTGGTTTGGCTAGGGTGTTGGCCTATGGACCAGAGGACCAGAGTATGGACCACGGTTTGGTTCCTGCTAAGGGCAGGTACCTTGGTTGCAGTTTGTCCCCGCCCCAGTTGGGGTTGTGTGGGTGGGTGGAAACCAGTTGATGTGTCTCTCTCCCATGGATGTTTCTCTCATCCCTCCTCTCTCCTTCCCACTCTATCTGAAGATAAATGCAAAAATGTCCTCGGGTGAGGATAAAACAAAACAAAACAAAACAAAAACCTGATGAACAGACCATGTAGTAATGCTTTCAAAACACAAACGGATATATTCGATAAGACTGAAGATAGTTACATTAACACCACATAACCCTAAACCATTCCTTCATCTTCTAGTCAGAAGGTGCAATGTTGAAACTGCTTTTCCTGCAAACTACACTTACACACATTTCTAAAAGTTTCCTTTAGTAGAACGAGTGTGAGACTTCCTACATCAGGGGACAAACATTTTGGGCTAGTGTATGATGGCCCTGCCTGTCAGTCAACAGATTCTTTTGGCAGTGTCTCCATAAAGTAATACTTAGTTAAATTTTTCATAACATAAGAGTAAAAACTAAATAAAATAAATGGAGAAAATGAAAATGTAAATAGACACTAGCAGTTTAAAAAAGTTAATTAAATTGAAATAAAGAATTAGATATGCTGAAATTTGCACATTTCCTAGTCAGAAACTGACGGTTTAAGCAGGTCAAATGAGTGCTTATGAAAGAAAAAAACTGTAAAGAACATTTTTAGATGTTGATGATATATCATTACTACCTGTGTAAAAGAAATAAAGAATTTAGCATATGTATTTTTAATTTCTTTAGCACATTCAACTTGAATATACATTCTCTGGAATACAAGGGGGAACTGCCCGTATTTTGAAATGACAGTTAACCTTAGATACAGGACCACTTTGAGCAACTGAAAATATGCTGAGGCTCTCAGTTACCATGGAGTTATTTGTTCACATGACTTCAATTTCTACCTAACCATGTTGGAGAGTCCAAAAACCAATCATTTAGACACTGACCTCACACTCTGGCCTCCTCTCTTCTCTCCTCACTTTTTGGATAAGCCAATTTTCAACCATAGCACAATAATTACAGATGTTTTTTCCTGTATCTATGCCCAAGTTGCAAAGCACTGCTTTAAAAAAAAACAAAAAACAAAAAAACACACATTCAGTCCATTTCCTACTGAGCTTTTTCCTCACTTGGCAGTTCCTTAGCAAATTCTCCACAAGGGCTACTCCAAGACTCTTCATCTCATTTTCAGAAGATGCATGGCTTAATAATTAGATTCCTAATAGTTTTACAACTAAACAATCTAAGATATTACTTCCAATTCCTTCATTTTAATTGCATAAACTAAGACCTAGAATTTAAAGAACTATAGTTTTACAAACACTGAGCCAATGTACTTAAAGCCCCTCATGCACCCTCCAAGGCCAGCATATTTACTGCACCATGATCTATTCACTATGTATGTCTCAGGAGGCCAATCTGAAGCCACACTGACTATGTTTCATCTAAGCAATTTACTAGCTAAGTGCATTTGGACAAATCACCAATTCTCTGTGCCTCCGTTTCTTCACTTGTAAAATAGAGATAAAGTCCTATCTGCGACCATGAACTAAGTTAATACTTGTAAAAAGCAGTAGAACTGGACGTAGCACATAGTAATTGAGAGTGATTTTCATAATTTCCTACAGAACTCTGGCAAGTGAGAACATGCCCCCCCCTCTTCTACTTTTATTCCCCCATTGTTCCCAACTCTCTCCACATCCAAAAACTCAGTTGCTGCCATCTTCTCCCTCTTCAAAAGCTTTAAAACTCTTCCACTCTATTTTTCGTCTTTCATTTGATGTCAAGCTTCTTAGTCTTCTTTATTTTCCCATACCTATTTAACCAAAGTTTGCTCTTGCAGGTTCATCCCTTGGCTCTGGGATTTTCATTCTCTGTGAACTCCAACACTTATTCCTCAAGATATGCTACCTAGTGTCAGATCTGAATTTTCAGAGTTGAGCTCTACAAACATGGTATTTCTACTTGACCATTTATTACGATCTTACAGTCAATTTTCCTCAAATGTTAAATAATTTCTAAGGTGCCTGCCAACTATAAAAATTTTCAATATAATCTGTAACAAAATTTGTCATTTCCTCTACTCACTCCAAATCAGTTTTCCACTATTACTTCACAATATTTCTATTGGTGGCACCCTAATTCTCCCAGAAACCAAATTCTAACTAGTCTTACTTTAGAATTTCTGACATCATCCATTCATTTTTAGCCTACTGCTTTACTCATATTTTTTTCAGGTTTTCTCTTGCTTCTAGCAAACCACCTCCCAATTCTGCATGTCTATAATTTCTATCTTAATCTTCCTGAAATGTTATGTCACATTATCATCTAGTTAAAAATGTCCAAAAAACCTCCACTCTTAAGTCCAAATCCCTTAACTTCATATTCAAGTTTTTCTCCAATTTGGTCCCAATTTTTGCAACACTATAATCCACTAATCCCCATAAATTATTATATACCTCAAACTCAACTTACCACCTAAGTGAACATTTATGTATAATCATGTGACATCTGTAATCCCTAGAATGCCTTCCACATTGTTCACTTATATCCCAAATTTGTCATGACTCACTTCAATTTGATTCTTTTTCATGAAATCTTATAGCCCAGGGTAACTTATTTGCCATTTAATTATATAACGCCTCACACTGTTATCTAATGTGTGTATCATCTCTCACATCAGAATAAAAACAAACCTAGGATGGGAGTTTCATATATATCTTTGGATTCACTGTATTTTCCTAGAACGTTTTGCACAGTAGGCACTTAACAAAAAACTGCTTCATGAGATACTAACTACTGCTCATGTAATCCCACTTAAGAGAAAGGACTAGTATAGAAGGAACAGTAAAAACAAAAAGTGATTATTTTGTAACCACTAAAGTAATAATGATTCATGCAAGAATCATCAATGGATGCTAAAACCATCACATGAAAGCTTCTTGGGGAACAGGATATTTATACAGTCTCAAAATATATCTGAACAAATTACTTATGAATTACAAAGGGAAAAAAGGTACCTTTACAGTGAAGAAATCTGGCGGACACCAAGTGATCAAAGTTAACATCACCAATAATGGGATAAACTGACATCATGTGCCTCCTGATGTGATGCACTGAGGACACAACATCACTTATGTATTATTCCTGCCAAAAATGCATAACCTGAAACTAGTCATGAGGAAACAATCAGACAAACCAAAAACTGAGGGACAATCTACAAAACAACTGACCTATACTCTTCAAAAATGTCAATGTGTTGAAAGACAAAGAAAGGCTGAGGAATTGTGTATGTGATCCTGGATTGGATCCTGGATCAGAAAATTGCTATAAAGGACATCACTGCTACACAGGATAAGGGTGAATTTATATGTGGACTGTATTAGATAATACTATTATATTAATGTTAAACTGCCTGATTTTGAACAATGTTCTTTGGTTAAGAGAATTTCCTTGTTCTTAGGAGAAACATTCCCAAGTATTTGAGGGTAAATAAATCTAAAACTTATTCTCTCATTATTCAGCAATAATATCAATAATTGTAATAATAACAAGTATCAATAAACAGATTGGCAAGATGTTAACAACTGGTGAATCTACAATGAAAGAGATCACTGTACTATTGCTACAACTTTTCCATTTTGTCAAAATGAAATTTAAAAATGAATACCCTAATACCACACAAAAACTCTGAAAAGTTTTACTTATCTGTGGTATTTACATTTTATTTGACAATCTTAAAGCAAGATATACTTGCAGTGGAAGAGTTTGCTCTGTAAAAACATATATTCTAAAAAAAACAAATACATCTTTTTGGAACCAAAGAACCATTTTATAATGTTAACAGCCCACCACTATTTTTTTTTTAAATTCACATTTCTATATTAAAAGACAGTTAAAATGAATAAAGTCAATTTCAAATAGTAAAAAGTCTTAGACAATATTTTTTAAACAATGTAGTTTTAATATTTTCAACTATTCAGAGAAAGTGGAGAAAGCTAATATTGGTTGATTAAGCATTTTAAAGAAAAAATGTTGATCTATAACATTAATAAATAAACATTTGTAAATTACTGAAAGTTTGCTTCCTTAATTATGATTATAGAGAATATTAATCATAGATCACAAATTTCATCTTCCCTCAATTATCAGAAGCTCTGACTTAGCAGATTAAAAGTTTTGAGTAGGTTTTATAATACAGTCATTAACTATCATTTATCTAGGCTTCCTGGAGCCTTTAAAAATAATACCTCTAGTCATAGTCAAATATGGTATATAGGATTTTCTAGATTCAATATAATTAGCAACAGTCCTTTAAAGTTGGATACCTTATTTATGAGATGTTCGGTAACAACTTCTCTTAGTCCAGTGTAGAGCTTTTCTCCATGTTTATGCAAAACCATTGTATATGCATTTCTATAGAGCTCCTCAAAACTAAGACCACTGTTATTCTTACGCTGGATTTCTTGAATTGCATTTTTCAGAAGGTCCCAAATGCTGTTTACATATTTTTCATCCATGGTCATCTGTAATATCCAAGAGAGAAAAAGAGACAAAAAAAAAAAAGAAAGAAAAAAAAAGAACAAAAACCAATGGTTGAAAATTTGTCTGTATTTGTCCATATAGTAAATATTTTATTATATGGCTACGATGATAACGCTGTATGACATAAGGATGTTAACAATCTGTTTTAACAGAAATAAAGAAATACACTTAAAAATAGATTTTAGAGCTGAAACAATTTTTTAAAATCCTTTAAGACCTCCCTCCTTTCTTATCTGCAGAACCCCTCCACTTTAAATAAAATCACAGTCCTAGATGTTAATATTTGCTTTAGCAGAAAGTGTAAAATGTCTTTCCCCTAAGTTTATTTAGTAAAACACAAGCTCAAAGATTTCCTCTCCTGAAGATCTATAGAGCGCCTCAGCAAACTAAAGATTGAAGAAAGACCTGCAATTAAAAACAAAACAAACAAAAAACAAAACCAAAAATAACACCCCACCACATTTTCTTTGTTTAACCTAGTATTCTCTCATTTTCCTCCTTTCCCACCTTAGACTCTAAGGTCCATCATCTGTAACTACCTTTTATGTAACATTCATAAGTCACCTGTCCTCCTATCCTCCTTCCAAAAACATGCCATTCTAAGCCTCAACTGCCCACCTACAATGCACCTGCACCCATGTAGTTGAAAGTAAATGAATAATTAACACATATGCCCATATTCAATTCATCTCAGTTAAATTCATGACCACTAATCACAAGTGAACCCTTAGTGCAACCCCACAATCCAATTTTTCTAATCTACTGACTCAACTCTCCTACATGATTTTACACCATCTCTTCTGATAATGACTTGCTTCCTATTCTGAGAGAACAGGAACAACCTGAAAAGAAACTGTACAAACTCACCATATCCACTAACCTAGTTGATTGCACACCAATATAATCTACTAGCTCTTGTACTCAAAGTGCCCAGTTCTTATACTCAAAAGCACAGGGATCATAAACACAGGCAAATTCTAGAAACTTGTTGGAAAAGGAGCATTTCCGACCCCAAACCAAACCTACAGAACCATAAAACTTGCATTTGAACAAGAACCCCAGGTTATTCATATACAGAATGAAGTTTAACAAGTACTGCTTTGTTTCCATAACAACTCATCTAATCAAGGACCCCCTTTCTTTAGCAATCTCCCTTCCTAGCACTATCAAATTTTTTCTTCTCTGCTACACAATTTCCATCTGCATTCAAAATCACTGGTTTCCCAACTTAAAAACAAACAAATCCTCAAAACCCCACATATTTCTCCAGCACCACCTAATTTCACTCTTTTCCATTTACAGCAGAATCATGGGGTAGGGGAGGAGAATTCTACATTGACTGTACCCAAGTCCTATTTTTCCCATTGTATCTTGAAGCCCCTCTAGTAAGGCTTCCATCTCTACCATTTCACTGAAATTACTCTTGGAAAGGTCACCAGTAACTTCCACAATGCAAATTTAATGATCAAAGTGTCAGTTCTTATCTTACTTGACCTATCTGGTAGGAAATGAACATTTGCCTTCCAAGCACTACAATCTCTGGTTTTTCTTTCTATTCTAATGACTTGTATTTGTCAGTCTGCTTACTAGTTCTTGCTCATCACAACCTCCAACCCTAAGGCTCAGGTTCTAAACCTTTTGTCTATCCACAATGTCTTTAAAAGGTGAAGCTGATCTCATCTATTCTCAAGACTTTGTTAACCTCAAAATGTGTATGTCCTATTTGGTCCTCTCCCCTAATATATCTAATGTTTCCACTTGAATGCCTACTATCAAGTCAAAAACGGAAATCCTAATCTTTTCCCATAATCTGCTTCTCATGCAATCTTCTCCAAATAAGCAAATGTCCAATCCATCCTTACATTTGCTAATGCCAAAAAGGTTGTAATCCTCTTTACACCTTTATCTCATTTCTAATGCAACCAAATTCTGTTGTCTCTATCTTCAAAATGTATCCAGAATCTAAGTCCTCCTCACCACTTCCCACTGCCGCTAAACTAGCCTGATCCAATCACCACCATCTCTCAGATTACTGCAACAGCTCCTAGCTGGTCTGTTTCTGCTCTTGGTCTATTATCACAGAGAAACAAGACTGACCTTCTGAAAACATAAATCAAATCATATCACTCATCTGTTCACTACCCTCAAGAGACTACCCATTTCGCTTGGAGTTGAAGTCAAAGTCCTGACACTATGCTACAAAGCCTTATTCGATTTGATCATCTCTCTGACATCAACTAGTCCTCCTTCTTGCTCACTCTGCTCCAGCCACACCAGCTTCCTTGCTATTCCCTGGAAGACATCAAACAAGTTAACTTCAAAGTATCTGTATCTGCTACTCTCTGAAATGTTCTTCCCCCAGATACCTTCATGGCTCATTCACTTATTGACCTCAAAACTGCTCAACTGTCACCTTAAAATAAAGCTTTAACTGCTCACTCTTAAAAATAGCAGCAGCCTCCTACCAGTGACCCTCAAATTCCAACCCTACATTCCTTATTTCTTTTCCTGGCTTTCCTCCTCCCAGCCAAATGTCAGCTCCATGAAGGCAAAAATTTTTTTCAATGTGGAATTCCTCAGCCACTAAAATCAGACGTGGCATATTAACAGGCACTTATACTTGGTCACTGAATGGTTTTCTGCTAATCTCTGGCTAAGGAGCCCTTTTTATGCCACATAAAACTTACAAATTCTGTATTTACAATCTGGGAAATCCTGCAACAATTATTTAACTGCTTCACACATACTTCCAACCTGAATTGAACAGAAATTAATCCGCTCCAAAAGGTAGGTGAAAACAAAAACAAAAAAGAATAACTTTTGGAAGTGAAGGATATGCTTATTGTATAAATTGTGGTGATGGTTTCACAGGTGAATACTTACCTCCAAACTCATCAAGTTGCATAAATGAATTACGTAGTTTTTTTGTATGTCAATCATATCTCAATAAAGTGATTAAAAAGAAAAAAAATCCCCTCCAAGCCATGTCTAATGGGTATGAATGTGAAAGAGAAAGGAGTAGGTGGGCAAAATAGTTTTCAGTCATTCTACCAATAAAATACCAGTTCAACTATCAATCAAGAGGATTCTTAAGCAGATGACTCAAACTAAGTCTTATTATTCTAATCTTTTCTGGAGAGCTTAAAAAAGAACTCTTTAAGAAAACAACTTCTTTTCTGTAACTTAAATATTATTCAAATCCCATCTCTACCAGAGTTTTCTGAAATGGCCTTAGAGTTTACCCCTACACCTAAAACTATTTTTTTGTCAGATATCCTGATTCATAGGGTGCCATCCATATAAAATATAAGATACAGCTATTTATAACTTTTCACAAATAAAAGATAAGATATAAGCTCCTGTGATATTAATGGCCTTAATACCCCATATACAGTAGTCCCTCTTATCCACAATTTTACCTTCTGCAGTTTCAGTTACCCACAGTCAACCACGGTCCAAAACTATTAAATGAGAAACTCCACAAATAAACAATTCTTGATTTTAAAATTACGAGCCATCTACATAGCATGATGAAATCTCGCATCATCCTGCTGTGTCCAGTCCAAGACACAAATCATCCCATTGTCCACTTGGCAGCTATCTTCTTGGTTATTAGATCACTGTCGCAATTTCAAAGTGCGTGTGTTCAAGTAAGCGTTATTTTACGTAGTAACGGCCCCAAAGTGCAAGAGTAGTGATGCTGCCCCGCTGGTGTGGCTCAGCAGTTAAACGATGAGCCATGTACCAAGAGGTTACCAGTTCAATTCCTGGTCAGGGCACATGCCCAGGTTGTGGGCCCGATCCCCAGTGGGGGGCATGCAGGAGGTGGCCCATCAATGTTCTCTCTCATCTATGTTTCTCTCTCTCCCTCTCCCTTCTTCTCTCACTAAAAATCAATAAAGAAAAAAAAAAAAGAAAAAGTGAAGCAACTAAGATACCATCTGTTAATATCAAATAACAAACACCTAAAGCAGACTGAATATTCAGAACTATTTCAAAGACAGAGCTCAGTGTATATCTATTATAAACTCCAGAGATAACTATACTACCAACAGTTGAGCAAAACTTCAAATAATCTTTTCAAGCTTTGTAAAATAAGATTCCATGAAAGCTAGAAAATTTACAAAAACGTCTCTACCCAGCATGAATTACTAAATTTTCTATTGAAGATTAAAGAACTTAAAAAATATAAACCAAGCCCGGCTGGTGTGGCTCAGTGGTTGAGTGTCAACCCAAGCACCAAGAGGTTGCTGGCTGATTCCCAGTCAGGGCACATGCCTGGGTTGTGGGCTTAATCCCCAGTGGGGGGCATGCAGGAGGCGGCCAATGGATGTTTCTATCTTTCCCTCTCTCTTCCTTTCTCTCCAGAAATCAATAAAGGGGGAAAATTTTTTTTTAAATATATAAACCAAGAGGCTTCAAATATTGTATAAGTACTCTCACATTATAATAAAATCATTTCTCACATAGATAATCTAAGACTGTATTAATATTTTCCTCAGTAGTCATGCCTTATAGAGATCATAGATGGAGCAACAGGAGAACAATGTTTCTTCTGGTGATTGCTCAGATATAAAAATGTTCCAACAAAAGAAAAGAAAATGGAGATATAAATGATTTACCCAAATCACGGAGCTAGGATTAGAACTCCTACATCCCCAAATCTAGTCCATATTACTGAACTCACATCATATTCCATTGTGCTAACACGGTAAAGTAGTATCAGTGCCAGTCACTGATTATCTTGGTCAACATAGTATGGTATACTAGCAGAGAACACAGGTTTTGCTGTCTGTATGACCTGAATTTGTGTCAATGGCTGTTTTAAATTCACAAGCCATGTGGCCTTGGGCAAATTACTTAATTCCTCTAAGCCTTTATTTCCTCACGTGTAAAGTGGGTTTGATAACAGCATTAATCTCAAAGGACTATCACGAAGATAGTTCTAAGAAGAATGTTAGAATTTAGCCCAGCCCAGGAC